ATGTATCTGTTTTTACAGAAAACATAAATTGTGATAAAAGTAAGTAGTGGAAGAACAAAGACTTAAGTTTTACTATACCTTTCAAAACATTTCCAGAGTAAGCACAAAGTATTGGATTTAAATAATTACTAAAAATTTCCAGCATCTTATTTGTAAAACTCAATTTATTTTATGTAAATCCCCAAAGGATTGTTTGGAATATCCTTTGAATATTATTGGCATATATGTGATGAACACTACTTATTAAAAGATTATGGAAAAGGAGTTCTAAAGGAATCGCCATTAAACATCTACTTAATTAAATTTATTGTTACTGTTAACATTATCCAAAAAAGTCAGAAATCTGATGTGTCCCTTGGAAATCACATAGACTAGACTCCAAAAAACCATGCTAGCAAAAAATGGACTACGTTAAAATGTCTTGATCTGTCCTGTGTATTTTCTATTATCTGCCATTTCATTTCCTACCTATAATTTTATTAAATGGCTTTGAAAGTACAATGATGCATGCAAACTGCACATTTTTTGTTATTGCTGTTTAAATATGCACAAGCCTGGAATTGATGGAGAATTTATTATATCCCCCAACATGAGAGGAAATAAAACAGACATGAATATTCAAAGCAGAACTACAAGGTTAGAAGTCTGAATGTCATAATACAAAAGCAACAATAAGTGATCACACAAGTCATTCATGTCCCTTTTCTTTTTCGGAGTGGATCTAGAATTTGTGGAGTTTAAAGCTTACATAATGGTGAGAGGGGGGAATAAGGATAAAAAAAAAATTACAAATGCAAATTTAGTTACAGGGCCTTAGAAAGGAACCTTGCAAGAGAGGATCCTTGAAGATGAAAGTTATTTGCTTCATAGAAATTTGCTTTCCTTCTCTTAGCAAACAAATTTCCTTAAACTTCATTCTCTGGTTTGGTATGCATATTTATTTGGGATGGTGGCAGATGTACATCTCAATAAGTCATAAGTAATCAAAATAAGTTTTGCATATCACTATCTAGATGACATTCCCATTTATTAGGCTTTCCTCATTCGAGAAAGAAAAATTAAGTCTGCCATATCAGATTCAATAGAACAGACCAAAAATTTCTTCTCAGAGAACATAGCAACTTGCAATGCAATTTGCATACTGTTCTTTCAGCTTACTTGTGGAAAATTCAACAATGATATTTTTATTTCTCAAAAGCAGTTTGCAGTTGCAGTTCTGACATTTAATTCTCTCGCCATTGAGTATTTATTAGTATGATAGCAGGCAGCTCTTTCCCTTCTATGGGGTCCCTCTCTATTCAGTCTTCACTGCAGGTATAGGCAGAATTTCCCCTGATGGTAAGAAAAAGGCAGACATATCTAAGTTTTCCCCTTTTCATTATGCCAGGGGGAAACCAGTTTCTGTTAATTCTGGTAACCATGTTATCTAACTCTCAAAACAGGAAAAATGATGGGGAAGAGAGGAGGCAGAAGTTCTGAGAAGCATCCCCTGGTTATTGTTGCTAGGGCAACTGAAACTTGGCATCCTCCAAGTAGTCATCGTCTGTCACACTTGGGGTATAATTCACAGGCATGCAACACATTTCAGTGGATCTTTGAAAAAAATAGTGGGGAAGGGGTGAGGAATAAATGAGAATTTTAAATAGGTACGTAAACAAAATGCGTGCCGAATATTTAGAGAGAGAATAGGCATAAGAGAAATACACTTTTGATAAATGTGTCACTATTATATATTACTCTGTTTCTTATTGCACAAATTACCCACTATGCAATCTCAACAATTGTCTACCCATCTGGCTTCTTTTACAAGCACCCCTTCTTCCTCCAAATAATAGTCTTCTGTAGTATTACTTCAGACTAACTGTATGCAAAGATTTAGATGTCATTTTCTTTTTCACAGTCCTTAAGAAAGCCAAGAATATTTTCAAATACTTTTCATTGTTTACCAGAATGTCTGACTTAGAGGCCAGCCTGGTTTTGCTATAAGAGAAGACAAAGTATTTATTACTCCCATATTCATTGAGAAAAACAGCCTTGAGCCTTGAAATGCCCTTGGCTAAATCTAAATCGTAAAATTCATTTTTCTTATGTTTGCATTTCTTAGAGCCAAGGTGTCTGCTTAATTTTTCTAATCACCAACAGGTTTTCTTAACATTATAGAAAATGTATTTTCTACATTAAAAAAAAAGGTACCATTCCTCAAATCACATAGCAGAAAGGAAGCCTTAAAAATACCTGTCATCAAAGTCACATAAAATCCTGACAGCTTCAACCTTCTCTTAGTATTTGCTAGTGTCAGCATCATAAAAATGTGAAGGAAACCCATATTAATGTATCACATTTACAAAATGGGTTTAATGGCCAATGCATTTTTGGAAGTAAACGGAAGAAGGAGAAAGAATATTAACAAATCGCACTGGATGAGCGCAAAAAAATCATAATGGATTAAAGAAGGAATAAAAATCAGAAACGTAACTTCTGGCAATGACTACTAAAAGGTTTCCTTTCCTCTTAGAATTGCTAAAGTCCTCTCACGAAAGCCAAATATATATTTTCATATAACCAAGATAATGAAACTAGGCACCAAAGCAAATAAAAAAGACTTCCTTAATTACTCGGCTGAACATTTCACATTGGCTCAGCCAAATCACCCTGGCTTTGGTACTATTTTACATGATGTTTTTAATGTCATCACCCACATTTTCTGAACCGATACACACACTACTTAGAACTCCAAAGAAGGAATAATCACATAATAGTATCCATAATAAAAATAATGGCTCGTTTTTGCTAAGCACATATTATATGCCAGTCACTATCATATATACTTTATAGAGATTACCTTATTTAATGCTTACATTATAAAAGTCTGAATTAAATTATTCTTATTGTACAGATTAAGGAATTAAGGCACAAAGAAGCTATGTAGGCTCAAGTCTGCATACAAGAAAATGTCCGTACCAGGATAGAAGATCTGCTTTTCACATTAGTGGCCCTTGCTGTGGCAATTTGGTTGGATGCCACTCTCCACTTGGGCCTGCGAGCTCCTCTTACCCAGAGTATTTCTGTGAGTTTGGGCTGCAACTTTTCTACCTAATCCTAACTTTTTATATGGCAGATGCTTCTGGTTGCCTTCTTTCTGGATCTCTTGTTCTCATCCAGATCCCTTTTTATATTTATGTTTGCATTAAACTCTAGTATTGTAGGTTGAAGCAACCAAAAGGCTCATCTGTGTATCCTAAGTTTTATTTCTTCCCTTGCCATTCTCTGATGGTATCACTGTGCCTAGGTAGATATCTAATCCTGGGTAATATCTTCTACTGCTTCCCACTTTGCTTTTTTGGTTTATGTACCTTGGATATGGGACCATTTGAATTTGCATTTACTATGGTTTGCACCTAGGGAATTGGTACCTGAAAAAAAAAATCTCATTTCCCATCCCCACACATAGACTCATAAACGGATACTCTACCCCTCAATGATTTTTATCCATGCGGAATAAAACCGTGCAGAATGGCATGTACCATCCTAGTTAACATAAACTTCCTGAGAGAATAAATTCTGAGCATCTTGACAGCAAAGACTGAATGCTGCTAATTTTTATACTTGCATCTTAAGTAAATACCTAGTGCTGTTCATTATATACAGAAGATCTCAATAACCAATTAGAAATTAAATGAGATCATATGCCGAGAAACTAGCTTTATAATTTACATTAATGAGTATACTAGTCAGGCTCTGCTAGGCTGTACTGCACTAACAAGCACACCCAAATCTCAGCAGCTTTTCAAAACACAAGTTGATTTTTCATTCCGTGTCTGTGGCTTGAAGGTTAGCCTGCAGACTCTGTTCATCGTAGGCATTCATGCTCCAGGTGATGAAATCTCCATCTCAATACATGTTCTCATGTGGTTGAGACCAAAAAAAAAAAGAAAGAAATATAACAAAACAAATACCTTGTTTAACTTTCTGTCCAGAAATGACTAATATTATCTTCATTCACCTATTATTGGGCAAAGTAAAACAATATGGCCATTCTTAACTACTAAAAAGGCAGGTACATGCAGTCTTTCTGTTGACTGGGAAGGTGAAATGAACAAGAATATCTGTGAACAGTCCAAATGACTATGGCAAGGGGCATGCCATTTATGCCTTTTCTCCAGAGTAATTCCTTATATTAGTGCGTATGTGCTCAGTTTATCATCTTAGCCCAGAAACTGTGTGGCAAGCAGTAAGGAGAGAAAAGGCAATAACAGGAGGGCAGATAGCAAGGATATATCAAGTTCAAGCAGAGTGGCACAGTCATAGAGCAGGGGAGGGGAGAGAGGACCATAAATAGTAGTCAACCCCAGTCAGTTTTATTGAGGGGGAAAGAACCTAGTCTCTGTGGCAATAATTTTAAGGAAAGTAAGATATTGGTCATACTTCAATGCATAAAATGGGGGAAGATATGATCAGTGCATCCAGGAAGTAATGTGCCCTACCCAATACATCCCAGAGAGAAACAAGACTACATGATCTAATTTCCATTTCCTCTTTGAGACATCTGTGAACTTTAGGAGGTTGAGTGCCCTGTTTGTGCCTAACCTAAGACCTCTTGATGTGTGTAGGTCAAAAAAGGCCAACAGTGTATCTGCAAAAATAGTAATCTTGTGTATGAATTATATGTTCTGGATGAATCCAAACAAAAATTTCACTCATAAAATCTCCCAGTAATGAATACAAGCTGTACTGACTTAAACAAAGTGTGGGTAGGATGCAGTATGTTCAAATTTAACAGTAGGAAAATCACTTAACTTAAGATCACATTCCTACCTAGTGCCATGATTCACTCACACAGGTTGTGGAGAGTCACTGGTTCCAAGATGGTCTTCCCAAATAGTGAGGGTATTACAAGAATTACAAAAGGTAAGAGACATATATACTGGATTCTTTCTTTCCTCGATTAGTACTATCTTTATAAGGTAATTACAAAGCACTGCAGATATTCTAGAATGGGGAAAAAAGTAAGCCTATGCTTACTTTTATACAGTCAACCTTAGTTACTTGATTTTTCCATAGAATGAAATTTTTTCTGTTTTCCTTTTAGCTTCATATGTAATTTCTGAGATATATAATGAGAAATGTAAATACTCCAGTAATCATCTCCAAACATCACAGCTTCTGCCAAAAGGATTAGCATATCCGTTATCCTGCCTTACAGGGTGTACCTCTACTGTGATTCCACCTGGACATTCAGACATAACTGAGCAATTTGGGGATTATTAATGAGACAAAACTGAAAAACATCTATTTACATAGAGAGAGAGAATCCTCTGAGGAGAGACCTATTCTTGAGGTAACATGAATTTTGGAATCCTGAGTTTGAGCTAGTTATAAGAACTTAGTTGTCAGAAGGAAATAGAGATTCTGAGTACCATACAATGGCTCTTGTGTAAGTGATGCTGGGACATGCACTTGCACGCACATCTATATACCAGAGAGAGAAGCCTTAAAGTATAACTTAAGGCTTCCTCACAGTGTAATGTTAAAACATATTTTTAGGCTTCTCTCTTCCTAGCATAAGGGGAAGGTTTACTGAACTGTGTCACACACCGGTGCCCAAGAAACTATGCTCAGATCTCACGAAGAAGAGAGGACTTTTCTCTATCTCCTTCATGATCTCCACAGGCTTTGAGATCCCATGGGCTCATGAAACAACTGAAAGAGAACATCTCCGCCCAGCAATAGAAGAAACTACCAAACTCTGAAGTGGAACCACGTTATACCAGTGCATGCTACATCAAAAGGTGGAATGAGAATGACCGCTTTTCTGGCAGTGTGGAGACAAACGTTAGAAAGAAAATGCTGGATCTGGGTAGCATGAAGCAGTGACGGTGTGCCCCACACCCAGTGAGCAGCGGGAACCCCCTCTATGACTTGAGGAGTTGTCATTAAAGGATAAACCGCTCATCTCAAACCAGAGGCAATTAAGTGACAGAGGGTTCTAGATCTGATGACTCCCAGCCTTTGGCAGTGGCCACAGCAATAAAAACAGCTATGCCATGCAGAATTGTCTTTGGCATTGTCAGTTATGTGTTTACATTTGTAAATACTGCTGAACGTTTGACAGACCTTTGGAGACTAACATATATGAGTCTAGAGCCTTTGCAGGAAGATAAAGTACATGTGTTATCAGTAGATGATAGTAATGATCTTACTTATTTACTGAAGCCTGTATATGACCTCACATATATTCATAAGCTGCTGAGATTACGAAAGTTCAAATTTCATAGTGTCACTATTTTCAAGCTTATAGGAAATTTTGTATTACATTATGCTTCATATTTGTTCATGGCAGCTCAAGGAGCAATTTGGTGCATTCATAATTGTTTGTAGAGAATACTGGAGGATGGAAAACTTTAAGAAAGGTTATATGTTGAAACTAATCTCAAACATGTTATATGGAGCCTCTCATTTTAAGTCACAAAGAGCAATCTTTCCTTAAATAATACATTTTGTGATTTCTGTGATCTGTTTCAATGATCATTTGTCCTAATAATTTATCTTATTAAATCTTGAGAATCTTTTGAAAATATAATTACTTTAATTTTCTGCTAAGAATCTGCCAGACAAATAGTTATTCTTGAACTTTCTTTGTTCTTTTTCTTTAAGAGTGTGTGTATGTATGTGTACATCAGTCTCAGCAGTAAAATTTCTTTAAAAAAGCTACAAATACAAATAAGGTGGGAAAATTATCTCTGAATTTCTCGTCAAGTGACAGTTTTTGGAAATAAACCCTCCCTACAGTATAAAATTATTTCCTCGTGATGTTGCATATACTAGGAACTCAATAAACATTTGTTGAATGGTGGAATCATACGTTTATGAATGTAGTTTGGGATTAAACTTATATATCACCTGATATGCATCTCTAAATGATACATAAATTGCCTTCATGTTCCTCAATTGATAAATTCAGTCCCTAAAACCAAGAAAAGGTATGAATGCAACTGCATCCTTAAGGCTTTTAATTCTAATGTGTATTCATTTATCTGAAAAAGAATTCCTGCTTATACAGAGCTGGAAATGTGCCTCTCTGAAACATTACATATTAGACTTAGTGAGTTTCTATAAAGCATTACAGAGAAAGCCTGCCACACAACCTGTATAAGATAACTTCAAATATTTCAACACAGTCATTGTGTGCCCTCTTAGGGGTCTCTTTTCAATGTAACGTTGGTTTCTTTATCAATCATCCTTTCCACACATTTGACCATTTACTTAAGCCATTCTTTCCTCCATTGTATCTAATTTGTTGTGACCTTCTTGAATTATGATTCTCAGAATTGAATACAGAGTTATACACATAAACTCATCAGCATTCGTTGTTCAAACCTTCAATAAGTATTTAATGTATGCCCACTATAAGGCAGCTATTGTAGTAAGCACTAGTGGTTAAACAAGAAAGACATAGTCTTTACTTGCCTTAGGAAGCTTGGAGTCAAAGATGATGCCAAGATTGTAGTGGAGTTAACCATATGAATACTAAATTACAAGTGCAGTGAGATTATAATTAGAACAGATGGATCAAATGTTTATCTATGGGCATCACAATTATATTGTAAAAATCATATCATGTTTGCATTTTTAACATCACATTAAAATTTTTATTAAAATAAGTATAGTGATCATCCCTGTTTTCATATATTGGGCTAATAAAGCCAGTCAGAAAATTAGGCACACTTGATGTTGAATTTCTCAGAATGAAGGAAAGAAGAAAATACAGAAAAGAAAAGCCTAAGTTAAAAAATGATATAAAAGTTCTGGAGTGCTGATAAATTGTAACTTGCAAAAAGAAAGCATGTGCTTAAACAGAGATCCAAAAGTCCAGAAAACATATACTTAAAAAACAAAAAGAAAATATTTTTCTTTAAAACAATATTTTTATAGTAGACAGAATACTAAATAAAAATTAGTAGACTGAATAGGAATTCAGGTTGTTTAAAGCAAATCAGTTATTCTCCTTTAGGCTTAATATCTTTATCAGAAATATGGAGCTTAAAATTTTCCTTCTTCCCTACCTATCATAAGTTCTAATTTATTTGACGGCATTTTGAGAATAATGTGATAAAATAACAATTGCTTTGTAAAGAATAAACCACAATGTAAAGATACCTACTTATTTTCACAGAAGAAGGAGAGAAATTATGGTTACAGTTAGGATAAAATAACAGTTGTTGGACTTTCTTACCATAAAAAGCTGTAAAATGATGCTATCATACACACATAGTTCAGAGCTCTGATCCTTTAAAAAGGAAAATACAAGTTCTACATTTGCCTTAGTTTCCTATCTGGTGACACTCTCTAAATTGAGCCACAAAGAAGCAGAGACAGATACAAAGCAGTAGAATTGCTGGATAGACAAACAGAGATCTGTAGGATTTGGGGCTGCTGAGGTGGCTAAAATTTACGGGACAGAATTTTGAAGAGGCAAGACATATAACATACTGAGAAGGAAGCCCATAAATCTGCATGTGGTCTATCTTGATTCTTTTATGAAATATTAAGCTGCATTTGCACAGGCTGAGACATCATAACGGTTTCTGAAAGAGATCTGAATGGAAGTTAAATGAAAATTCTAGAGACTCCTTAGGGCTAAGAGGACTGATCCTCCCTGAAAACCATCAACTTCTATTTCAGACTTCAGAAAGACCAAGTTGTAGGACTGGCAGTATTTTAGACATACTCAAGTCTTGACACCATCAAGCTGATCTGTGTGTAAATTAATCACTTACCAGAACAATGAATAATATTCTTCAAAGAAGGTTACAAATTCAGATTTCAGCAATGTAGCTAGCATCCACAGTGTCTAGCATACAATCAAAAGTACAATGTTTGTAAATAAATAGAGAAAAATACAGAATAAACAGTCAATAGACATAGACACAGAGATGACACATAGAAGACATGAATATCAGCATTATAACACAGGGTTCTTCATTTAGTTATGATAAACATATTCAAGAAATTCAAGCACAAACTGAATATAATAAATAAACAGATGAAAAAAGGATGTTCTAAAACTGAAAAATACAATATCTGAAATGAAAAGGGAATCAGAGATAGGGCACCATGAAGAAAAGTTCAGTAAACTGAAGATAGACTATAAAACTATCCAAAAAGAAGCACTAACTGTAAAAGAATGAAAACCCAAAAAGCCTCATCCATGTGTAAAATACTTTAATACTCATCCCATAGATCCAATAATATCAAAGAATTAGGATAAACATAGGAAACAATATGCAGGTATGTCACTGTCAAATGACAACAACTCAAAAATAAAGAGAAAAGTCCTAAAAGCACTTAGATTAAAAGGATACATTATATACAGGAAAAATACAAGTGGCTTCACTTGCAGAAGACGATAAAACAACATTTTAAATAGTTGACATAAAAAGTCAATGTAGAATTCAATGTATTGCAAAAATAATCCTTCAAAAATAAAGAGAAGATTAAAATATTTTTGTTAAACAAAGCTTGACAGAATTTGTCACCCGTAGACTTAAAGCTCAATCAATAACAAAGTTCTTTAGAAGAAATAGATACCACATAGGAATTCAAATTTATTTGAAGAAATAATGAATAGGAACAGTTAACATGTAATTAAATATAAAATATGCTTTATCCTTCTTAATTTAAAAAAGGACTTTAAAGAAAATAGTAATAACAATGCCTTTTGAGGTTTATAACCTATTTAGAAGTAACTGATGTGATAAAGTAGCACAAAATAGAAGAGAAGTGATGAGAAATATATTGTCATTAGATTCTTATATTACGTAAGAAGTGATAGAATATTGCTTTGAAGTAGATAGTGATAAGGTAAAGATGTATACTATGAGCCTTAGAACAACAATTAAAATTAAAATACTAAATAAAGGATATGTATTTAATTAGATAATATATGAGATAGAGTGGATTTCTAAAGCCACATGAATAATACAACAGAATGCAATTTATTTAATGAGTCAGTACACCCCTGATACCAAATGGTGGAAAAAAAGAAGAAATAAATAACAAATGGTATTAATACTATAGAAAACAAATAACAGGATTAAAGACTTAAACCCAATGATAATAATTATATTAATGCAAATGCAAATACTATATACTATGTATATACTATATACATTTCAATTAACAGATAGATAACATCCAACCTGCCAAAAATAGAGAACAATCCTCAGCCCCCAGTATGGAACCATTTCACTAGGAGACTGAACAGACACTCAATGGCAATTTGACCACATTAGACCTCTTCTCTCTGAAAGGGACAGTGATTTATCTTGACTCAAAGTGACATATATTCTGTAGACAGTGTTGCCTTTTCTACTTCACAAGAATTCAGCCAGCACCAACATTCCAGAGTTTACAGTGTTAGATTTATAAGCTGAAACATTGCATGAAACCAAGGAATTTATTTTATAGCAAAAGGTATGGCAATTAGCACACAACAATGGGGTCCACTGGTCCTAATAATGCAGACACCACCACTCAGAATCTGTCAGACTGACCTTCTAGTAAGGTGACTTGCTGAAGTTGCAGCTGAGGCACCAGCTCAGATATGATACTATGTGAGGATGAGTATCATACTCAAGGATGAAATATATACTCTTAGTTCACAACTAATGTATGGTGCTATGTCTTCAACTGAGAGAAATCATGGATCCAGAAACCAAAATGTGAGTGTGAAAGTGGTCCTGCTTACTATCATTTTTCTTAAACCATGTTCATGGTGCTTTCAACACTGCACTCTGAAAAGGTCTTTGTAGATCCTAGTTATTCAAACAGTTAACATTTCCAATTAGTGACCCAACAAGGGTCTTCACAGATTTTATTCTCTGGCTACTGCCTGTGCACTCTGAACTTAAGCCAAGAAACGAGGAGAAACACAGAAGAGTCAATGACCTGATAATTGCCACTGATTATCACAAGGAAACAGTGCTACTGTCACACAATTGAGGAATAAGTTTGGCACTCAGATGACACACTTGAACATTTTTTGTGCCTCCTTAGGA